AAATGATCAGAAGTCGAAGGAAGAAGCCGAGGGTCTGGCCGCCGCCTTGGCCGGGGATGTTGGTGTGCTCTAGACGGAGAAGACGGTCCTCGAGGAGCAAGTGAAAGGTGAGGTTATGGTTACTTTTTTGCTTGACGTTTTGCAGTTGGTTTTCTGACGCTCTTTGATGTTTGGCTTGGGCAGCCCTATAGAGGCAACTCTCCGAGGTGTGGGGTCAACTCCAGTCGAAGAGCGATGACCACGATGCCTTGCACGTTGTCGTCGGGTTGGTCTTCGACAACCTTGGGGTCGCCCTGGCCGTGGAGATGAGCTCGCTCACAGTCTGGGTTACCCGGATCCCGGATCGGGCACACACACTCACAAGGGTGGCCCTATACACCGACGTCCATCACGCGTTCGCCATCGCCCACTCCCACTACATTAACATCGACCTGCCGGTGATCAGTGTGGGCTTCACGCCTGGCTACACTGACACCGAGCTGGACAAAATTGAGAAGGAAGCGGCTCTCCTGGCATAGGACCTGGCGGAGAAGGTCGGAGAAGAAATCCTGCCCAAGAATGTTTAGTTAGATAGCTGAGTTCGACGTCGATCTTTTTGTAAAGACTTTTATTATGGCCGGAAACGTTGTTTGGCTTTTCTATATATATATATATATATATATATATATATATATAAAGTTCGTTGCGATCCGACCCTTGTTTTATGTTAAGGCATTAGAAACTTAAGTTGCCAGCGACTAAGTAATGATCACGCTGGTGAGCAAGAGATGCCGTAGCTGTCGGGGCATAGGCTTTTTGCATTCAAACCAGTTTTACTCATCATTAGTTTTTGGTAACTCTTATTTCTAGGTCTTGTCATAAAAAGGAAAGGTCGGATGGGAAAATGTATAAAGTTTGTTGCGATTTGACCCTTGTTTTATGTTAAGCCATAGAAACTTAAGTTGCGAGTGACTAAGTAATGATCACACTGGTGAGCAAGCGATGCCGTAGCCGTCAGGGCGTAGGCTTTTTGCATTCCAACCAGTTTTACTCATTGTTAGTTTTCGGCTACTCTTATTTCTAAGTCTTGTCATAAAAAGGAAGGGTCAGATGGGAAAATGTTTCTGAGTATATGTACTCCTATCAGCCCCCGAGTAAAATCCGACCCAAGGTAGTTGCTAGGGTCGGGTCTTACTGAAGACCGATCAGATCAGAAGCGAATCCGATAGGAGGTAACATTTTTCGGATTTTGCAGAAACATTACTTAGTTTGATAAGCATATTGGAAGCTTTGGAATGGGAAGACTAAGGGTAAAAGCAACATAGCTTCTCGATGTTCCAGGCGTTGGCGATGGCTTTGCCGTCATCAGTCTTGAGCTCGTACGCGCCTGATAGGAGCATCTTTGTGATGACGTATGGTCCCCCCCTACAGTGGGGAGAGCTTGTGGTGGTCCTTGCTGCTCTGGACGAGGCGAAGCACTAGGTCCCCGACATTGAAGGCCCGACCTCGCACTCGACGGCTGTGGTACCAGCGCAACGCTCGCTAGTACTTGGCCGAGCAAAGGAGGGCGACGTCGCGCGCTTCATCTAGTTGGGCTTCATCCTATGCTCCCCCTTGTTAGAGCTTCTAGACAAGAACCGCTTTAAAAGAACGCAGTCTTTGTACAGGTGCTTGATGGGGAAAGCATGGTTCAGGCATGGCCCTTCAAGTAGCTTCTTGAAGTGGTCCGGGGTGTCCTTCGTGGGCTTCTGGCCCCTTGTGCGGTCGACATTGGCCACTAGCGAGCTCCTACGCTGCCGCTTGTTCTTCATTCTATTGGGAGGCTTGGAGGTGCCTTCAACGGCGCCCTCATTCTGTTTTGCCTAGCCCTTGAGGGTGTGTCGGCCAATGGCCTGAGGTCCCATCAAGTTAGGGCTCGGGCTTTGGTCCTCACCGTTGTCATAACGTCTGCCACAACGTGGATGCTAGCCACGCCTGCAGGCATCGAGGGTGTTGCGAGCATCGCGGTGGAGGCTAAGACGGTCATGCACCGGAACCACAGTGCGCGGCCTGCCATCCTGTTGGGCCTAATGGACTAGTACATCCTCATTGGGTTGTTCTAAGGGCACTTTGCGTCTGTGAGCATCGAGGGTGTCACGCGCGTCACGGTGGAGCTCGAGACGCTCGTGCACCGAAATCGCGGTGCGTGGCCTTCTGTAGTCGAAGCTGAGGAGCTAGTTGCTTTCTGGGGTACGGACCTCCGATGTAGGTAGCTGTAGCTCCTCGGGCGCCTCGACAATTGTGTCGAGACCGGTGAAGAGGAGGGGTTGTGTGGTAGCGGAAGGCCGCACCAACTCTCCCTCTATCGTGATGATGAAGTCTAGGTTACCGAAACGCAAGCGTGTGACCGGGACCCTGCTGCCATTGCAATTAGCCATCCAAGGCCTGGTGTTGATGTCGCGTCTCACAAAAGGCCCCTACCTGGCGCTCCAACTGTCGGTGTTTCGAGTAACTGACTAGTAAATTTGTATTATTGCGTGTCTGAGCCGGATGGTGTGCTAAGAGGACACAAGGATTATACTAGTTAGGGCCGAATGTCCCTACGTCTAGTTTTGAGGTGCTCGTCTTACTAGCACTGAGTTTGTAGAAGGAGGTTACAAACTAGCGAGAGAGGGAGGAGCTTCCAAGTCTCTGTGGTTCGACTACTCGAAGCTTCTAGTGCTAGATCTATTGGTCGATTGATCTCTCGCGGTGTGATGTGCGATGCCCCTTAGTGGGACGCCCTGCTTTCCCTTTTATAGGCCAAGGGAAAGCAGGGGTTACAACGGAAGGGAAGAGGGGAAAAAGAAAGAGAAATAAAGCTCCCGGAGGTGTGTCGTCTTCTTCTTCACGCGGGTCCCGCTGACCCTATAGATCGTGGTGGCAGCGGTGTCATACCGGGTTCTATTGGCCATTGCAGCATACGTGCGCGTGTCGTGCGTCATTCTTGTCTTCCATCCCATCTGAGCGGACGGAATGGTCAAAGGGTCCCCTGACAGAGGCCATACGGGGGGCTGGCGGTACAGTGCTAGTCAACTGACGCCGGTTGACTGACATTGGATGGTGGTCATGCAGGGAGTTGGCAGCATAGTGCTAGCCTATTGACACGGTGGGCGATATGAGTCTCCCAGCATGGCCTGATGCGACCACTAATCGCATCAGGACGCGTTCGAGACGTGCTTCTGGGCGTGCGCCTCCATGCCATAGTGGTTGAAGCGGTTCAGGTCCCACCCTGGGGCCACTGCTTTTGTCCAGTAGCAAATTTGACCCCTTGGGAATGGGCAAGGTGGAAATCTCACCCTGGGGGCTGGGCGAGACGGAATCCGACTGTCGGGGGTCGGACGAAGCGGAGCCCTCCCCATGGGACCAAACGAGTCAGAGCCCACGCCTAGGGGTCGGACGAGGCGAAAACCTCATCCTCGGAGTTGGAGCCCACGCCTTGGGGTTGGACGAGATGGAAACCTCATTGTCGGAGTTGGACGAGGAGTGGCCTGGCCCCTGGGGGTTGGACAAGGCGGAAACCTCATCCTCGGAGTTGGACGAGATGTGGCCCGAACCCTAGGGATCGGATGAGGCCTTAGTTGCGTCCTTAACCATCGGATGAGGTGACATGATGCTCCTTAATCCTTTGGCTCGGATACCTAGGTATAGGTATCCGACACTCCCCCACATAGCATGTGTGGCTTGCTCATTTTGAATGCATCATCATCAGTAAATCTCATCCGACCATGGGGCGATGTTGCAGACGACAAACCTCAATTAAACAAGGTAGCTTGAATTCTTGCTCACAATAAATTCTAGTCTAGCAAAACTAGATGAAAGTGCAAACACAATCATATAATATAATCAAGCAAAAAAATGTTGCCGGAAGAATAATCCTGGGCGACTTACACTCCTCGTCGAGGTCAAAACTTGCGACGTTGACGAAGCAGAGCCGGTTGTAGTAGATGCCCTTCTGCTTGGGATCGAAGTCGAGGATGTAAGCCTCCGCTTCCCACCACCGACCTTCAAGGTCCCCCGCCTCCTAGAGATGACGGGCCTTCTCCAGCACTTCCTCCCTTAGCCTCTCCGCCTCTACCGCTCGTTCGGCCTCGGTCATGCTAGAGAAATCCAGAGTCCTCATCACAGAGGCGAGCCAGACATACTCCCGCCCCAAGCGCAGCAGCTCCTTTTTTTGCTACATCCATAAGAAACAACTACAACATACCTTTGAAATGACTGAAACACCAGAAACATATATTTGCAGCATAGGGGAGGGGAAGCCTGGGCCAGTCGATTCCAGCCGTTCGGGTCGGAGCCGGCGGCGAGCGGCGGCGCATGAGCACCAGGGCCACTAGTATCGGGTTTGGCTTGGCGCAGACGATAGGGGATGGGGGGCGAGGAGCACCATGGCCATCGGGGGTGTAGATGGCGCCGCGCAGGGTGGAGGATAGTCACCCACTCCCCTACAACACCACCGCCTCACCTCCATGGATCTTGCCGGAGGCAAGTGGATCTCGTTCCTGCTCCATATATCTCGCTGAGGTGGGGGAGAGGGTTGTCAGATCTACGAACATTGCAGGCTCCCTGTGGGGGAGGACGCCGGGCGTTGGTTCACTGCGGTAGGGATGAGGAGCACGGAAGGGGTAAGGACGGGAGCAGAGCGAGGCGTGCGGGAGTTGATTTTGTTTTTTTAGGCGAGTGGCGCATGCGATAGTAACTGGAGCGGAGGTCTTCCGGACGTCTTAATAATAGCATTACCGTAATTTTATTTATTCTTTGATTTCTGATTTAAACATTCCTCTTAAAAATCAATGTTATTTTCATTATATTATAATTAAAAACATGATTGTTCGTTGCATTTTTAATTGTCATCATCCATTCTTACCTGCAAGTCCTCATGGACATCAATGATGCTATGCTCTCCATCTGCACCATCTGCTGCAGATCCAACGGCTGGGCTGCCGCGTGACTCGGCTCTCCCTTCCCCTACCGATAGCGAGCGGCCCACACACCACGGCGACATGAATGCCTCCTCGAGCGGGAGCCATGGCAGCGGCGGTGAGGGCAGCGCTGCTGCCCTCCTCATCCTCCTCCCCGTCGCCGCTGCTCCGCCTCCCGCGTCGCTTCCTCTCGCTCACGGTGACTCCCTACCCTCTCTACTACGACCTTATTGTGCACCGCCCTGCGGACCCCAATCCCCCCAAATCCTCCGCCTCCAATGCCGCCGGGGCCAACCAGCAGCCGTAGCCAGACCCCGACGAGCAGCCGCTCGACCGCGCCAAGCGCCGGTACCTCCGCAAGTGCCGCAGCTACCTCCTCCCCCAGCCTAACGCTACCACCACCACCAAGCCCTCCTCCTCCTCGTCGGAGTTCGTCGAGCTTCGGCCCAAGGTGGTGGACTTCCCACGCCTGCACGGGCGTGAGGAGGCGCTCTACTTCCACGACACCTTCGCCATGCCGTGGGAGAAGGACAAGCACTACCGCATGCTCTACCGCCTGGAGAAGAAGTACTTCCCCTATTAGTCCCTCGATAATGCATTCGTCTTCGTTGATGATGCCCCGGCCTTCGACGCCGATAGGAGCCTCGTCTTCTTCGACAACGAGAAGAAGGAAGATGAGGGAGGGGAGCGGGTGGTCAGTAAGAAGGGTGGTGACAGCGACATCAAAAGGGAGGTGCTGGAGAGGAAGATGGAAGACTTCTTCAAGTCTCTGAATTAGGGCCCCGGCAAAGCCGACACCAAGTTCTAGAGATCAGGAGCGGAGCCGCGGCAGGTGAAGCGTGAGGTGCCAAGGGTGGAGGAGCGTCCACAGCCATACCTCGTCACCAGGACCACAGAGCTGCCACCAAGGTGGGATGGCCCGGCCGAGACCATCGTGCTCATTGACAAGCCCAAAGGTGATGCCTTTCCCCTCCCCTTTGGTGCATTGCAGGTTCTGGTATTCTCACCCAAAGGTGATGCCTTTCCCCTCCACTTTGGTGTATTGCAGGTTCTGGGATTCTCTCCAAAATGTATCATCTAAGACAACAGTAGTATTTTAGCTACTTTTATCTGATGCACATGCACCACCGGAAAATTAGGGCAACAATTACATGGAAATTAGTCGGTCTGGCAACTACAGCTTTGCCTCAAGACAGGATGGACTTCATTTACCATCGTCTTCATTTGCTCTATTGCCTTCCATCCTGAACAATTCATCTGAACTCATCTTTCCTCTAATCATAGGATGGACTTCATTTACTATTTGTGGCAAGTTGCGGCGCTTGGTGAAAGTACAAAAGGTGATATCATGGTTTTTTCACTGTGTGTGAATGCAGCATTTGCCCTTAGCATTAAGTATGTTTTACAATATTTGTGTGGTCTGAGGTTGGACATGCTGGAACTCTGGACCCCATGGCAACTGGATTGTTGATTGTTTGTGTAGGAAAAGCAACCAAAATAGTTGACGCCGGTAAACCCGTAGTTTTCACGACGGATGTGGCCACCGCGGGCCATTCCACCAGCGAGTTCACCAACGATGCAAGGAGCCACCACTTTCCCTCTCAACAATCGAGAGTGCGCGACTGTCCCCTACCTGGCACACCAACTGTCGATATTTTATAAATCGGACTAGTAAATTTATACGATTGCCACGCTGCTCTAGGAAGACGATGGTAGCATCCAAAAGACACGAGGATTTATACTGGTTCAGGCCGGAGTCCTACGTCCAGTCTCAGAGATGATCGAGTGCGTGTTCCTCGCATGAATGCTCTAAAATTCTTACAATGAGGGGTGCAAGAATGGTGAGGGAGGTGGTAGAACCTATGCTAGGTGAGGGGCTGCCCGGAAGGAAGCTTTAGGAGCCCTTGTACTATGGTGAAAGAATGGAATGGTATAGGATGTCCCGAATGCGTTTCCCGGTTGGTCCTTATATAGAGTTCGGGGCCAATGCTAATACAAAGAGGAGGTTCCCTCGATCGAAGGGTCGTGAGCCTGAGAGAGGTCCTAGCTAACTTGGCTTGCAAGCTATGTCATCTTCTGGTGCTCATCCAGGCATGGCTGTCGTCATGGTCTTGTGGCCACACCGCGGCAGGGTGTGATGTGGTTCTATTGTGTTGGCCGTGGTAGCACTGTAGACATGGTGATGGTTCGTCAGCCATCCTGTGCAACGCAGTATCCGTCATGACCTTCGTTACCATCTCCTGGTTTCCCGGGACATCACACGGGAGTTGGTAGCCACCCTGGGTCATCGATCGCCTAGTTGTTTCGCGGGGCTGAGGGCCACGACCCTGATCGTCGGGGTTGGGGTTTTTAGCCGGTCTGGACGGCCTCTTTGGTTAGGCCCTTATTGTAGATCCCATCCCATAGTGGGTAGGATCGTACATACTTTTTGTCGGTCCATATCTGGACGGTGGGTTTCGTACCCGTTTCCTCTGCTATGCGGTGTTGTCCCGTCCGTGCGACGTGGCACGGGGTTGGCGTCTGATCAGGCCGAGGTGATTGTTGTCCCCTCTGTCCTTACGGGGTCAGTGCGGTACGGTCGCTCTTGTCAGAGTAGGTGCGTCAGGCTGGGCTTGACCTCTCCCCATCCCCTCAGGGGTCATGGCGGGGAGAGGTCGCGCATTTCTCGGGCGCCGTGTGGCTAAGGCGGGGAGAGGGATCATGATCGTCCCCCGCCCTTTCGTCAGCCTGGATTTCTCATCTAACTGGGCTTAAGTTGTTTGGGCCTTCGCTAGCTAGGGAGTTGTGGGTCGTGTGGCCTGCCAACTAATCGGTGCCTTGAGACACCCGGGGTTATAACCCCGACAAGTCTTTAATTTCAAATTTTGATAAGGCATTGCGGGCAGCAAAAAAATGATGGTTTTACGTTGGGGGTGAGATGTGATTTCCTCATGTGGGTCCCACCTGCTACACGCGCTCTCTGGGGTCCGCAGCCATGCCTCTGCCACCGTGCTCACCGAGCCGCACCTCTGCCACCCCCACACAGCTGGCCGGGTTGCCCTGCACGCTGTCGGACGCCCATCGGTACACGCCTGCGCCCGCCTCGCCGATCAAACCCCACGCCACCCACGCCCTCATCTGGCCACAACTCCACACTCTGTGACGATCTGAATCATTTGTCACCTCCCTTAGTTGTCTATGACTCGAGAAGAAATCACAGATTGATATCAAGTTCATATACCAAAGTTATTATTTTTTTTTAAAAAAATGAGCTATCCGGAAAAAAAATGCATCCAAGTGATGCTTCTTTTTAAGAAAAGAAAGAAGCAAAAAATTAAGCCAAAATGGAATTAAGAAATATTGCAAGAAAGAAGCAAAAATTAAGCCAGAATGGAATTGAAAAAATATTCCAACAAGGGGTTCGAATCTAGATATTGTAGTGCATTTGTTTACGTTTTAAGTTTTATTACATTATCACACACAAATAACAAAGAAAATAAAATGTTGCTAGTCGGAATTGAACCTAGGTCCAAGCAAATGAGAAGAGAGCGACTCGCGTCTTTATGTTAATTACTAAGTTTGGTAATTCCACCTTTTTATTCGAGTTTCTCTAAATAGAATGACCTTTTTATTTGGGTTTCTCTAAACTGGATGAAAATAGAAAAAAAATATGAAGCAAAATAGGATTGAACAGAAAACCTCACTATCACTAATTAAACGAGTTTGCCTTACCACTACTACAGGTTTCTCTAAATAGAACGAAAATAGCAAAAACAAATTGAGGCAGAACAGGAATGAACCTAGAACCTCACCAATGAGAAAAGGATGCACTACCACGGTGCCAATTATGCTTTTGTGTATGTTTGGATTATTTGAGCCTTTTAACATTTAATTCCTGGTTTACCAAAAAGAATGAAAACAGCAAAAACTGTCTTAGGTTGGGATCAAGCCTCAGCAAATTTAAGACATACCACTAAGCCATTTCTTTCACTATGACAGAGGTGGTTCATTTACGTTTTTGTTAGTACAGATAACGTAGATGTTCCTCAAGTACGAAGTGGCTAGAGTTCAGGCACGCGGAAACAAAGTCGATTTTTTAAAAATAATATTTTTGACTCCTGTCGGCACCTCAGGGGCCGATAGGCCTACGTGGCCGGACGTGGGAGCCGACGGCCGCCAGGATGGCTTGTCAGCGCCAATAGTATACAGTATACCCGCGGAAACAAAGGCGATTTTTTTTAAAATAATATTTTTGAACTCGTGTCGGCAGCTCAGGGACCGATAGGCCTACGTGGCCGGACGTGGGAGCCGACGGCCGCTAGGATGGCTTGTCGGCGCCAATGGTATATAGTATACCTGTCGAGCAGCCGATAGGCCTGTCGACTCCTCCGCGGCCGATTGCACTATTCCATGTTGTATCTACACATAACCATCACCTGAACCTACAATACTAAATGGCATGTGTGGAACTGTACGTAGCTAAGATAACTAGTCCCACCACTAATCCTAACATGTCTTAGGGAAAGTAAACAAAGCACGTCTTGCAATGGCATGTGTGGAACTTTGTACTTCTAATGTTTAGAGGTCCACCACTAGGCCTAACATGCCTTAAGGAAAATTATAGGAAATTGTTCTCGTATCAAATGTCCACTCGAGCTCCAAGGTAGCAAGCAATCGACAATTCTGTGTTGGGGGCGAGATGTGATTTCCTCATGTGGAGTCCACCTACTACATACACACGCTCTCTGCGGTCGGTAGCCATGCCTCTACCACCCTGCACACTTGGCCACACCTCTACCACCATGCACAGCTGGCCACGCCTTCACCGCACCATATGTGCCATGTTCGCTTGGCTAATAAGCCATGACTGAAAGTACTGTTGGCTGATTTGTTGTGAGAGAAAAATATTGTTCGTTGGCTGAAAAAGTATGGCTTATAAGCCAAGCGAACAGGGCGCATGGTCGCCCGGGTTGCCCTACACGCTGGCAGACCCCATCAATGCACGCCCAGGCCCGCCTCGCCAATCGAACCCCACGCTACCCATGCCCTCGTCCGGCCACAACTCGACACACGTACCACTGGCTGCACCCCACATCAGCGGCACCATCATGCCCCCACCTGGTTGTAGCTCCACTCGCCTAGCTAGTTACACCCTACACCGCCCATGCCATCGGGGCCTCATCTAGCCACAAGCAGCGGAACCCATGCGCCAGCCCATGCCAGCCCACCGGCCGCACCCCTACCATTATGCGCCACTGTTTTCTTACAAATAAAATGTTTATCCAAGCATCTATCTTCTCTCTCATAGCATCTACCAATCACATCTTCTTTGTATTTTGGTTCTCTTGTAGACATGGTTTTCTATATAAAAAATCATAAGTGGATGAAATTAAGCCGACAACACGCTAAAGTGGATGAAATTACATATACTTATTGAAGACATCTGGCAGATACATTCTCAACCAATAGAAATCAATTTGAATGTCAGTACTATATAGATTTTAGCCTTATGATCTTGGTACAAAACATAGGGTGTAATATTTATTGAAACAAAAAGCAAGCAATGCATTGTTTGTTTGTTGGGAAGAGAAGGAGTTGTACCTTAGAGTTAATGAGTTGGGATCAGTCTCTGGGGTGGCGGTAGAGATAAACACACTTCTTGTCAATGCGGTCCCGGGCAATGATAGTGCCATACACTCGGATCGGGTAACCGACGTCCGAAGAGGCTATCTTGACAGATAAGATGTTTACTCCCCCGCATAGCATGTGTGGCCTGCTCATTTCAAATGCATCATCATCAGTAAATCTCATCCGACCATGGGGCAATGTAGCAGACAAAAAACCACAATTAAACAAGGTAACTTGAATTCTTGCTCACAATAAATAATAGTTCTAGCAAAACTAGATGAAAATGCAAACACATCATATAATATAATCAAGCAAAAAAAAGGTTGCCGGAAGAATAATCCTGGGTGACTTACACTCCTCGTCGAGGTCGAAACTTGCGAGGTTGACAAAGCAGAGCCGGTTGTAGTAGATGCCCTTCTGCTTGCGATCGAAGTCGAGGATGTGAGCCTCAGCTTCCCGCCGCCGACCTTCGGGGTCCCCCACCT